GGTTCAGCTGGAAAAATAAGCACATCGCAATAGCCAAAAAATAACTTTTAAAATAATGACCCAGCAATCCCACCCCTAAGTATATACCCAACAGAACTGAAAGCAGGGTCTCAAGAGAGATTTGCACACCACATTCATGGCAACATTATTTAAAACTAGAGGCCCGGTGCACAAAATTCATGCACTCTGGGGGGGGGAGGGGATCCCCTAGCCTGGCTCTGTGCCCTCACAGTGCGGGAGCCCCGCGATCGATCGCCCCAAAGAGGTAGGCCCCGCCCACCCATCCGGGGCTCCTCAATGGATTGCTCAAAAGAGGTAGGCCGGAGCTGGGGGTACCGCCTCCGCAACAGGCATGGGACGCAGGAACCCTGACCAGCCCTCACTGGGCCCTGCCCTGCAGCACCCCTGCAGGGCAGCGGGAACCCCAGCGGAAGCTGAGTGGAGCAGCTGCCGGGCACTGCCCCCGCAGCATGTGCAGCCATCTTGTGACCATGTGAGGGCATCATGGCATGAGGACCACCTAGCCTTTTATTAGTAAGATAGCTAGAAGGTAGAATCAATCTGTGTCCATTAACAGATAAATAAGCAAAATGTGGTCTATCCATACAATGGCATATTATTCAGCCATAAAAAGGAATGAAATGCAACCATATGAATGAACCTTGAAAACATGCTGAAAAAAGGCAGACACAAAAGGACAAACTGTATGATTCCACTTATTTGAAATATCAGAATAGGCAAATTCACAGAGATAAAAAGTAGATTAGAGGTCACCAGAGGCTGGGGATGGAGGCAATGGGAGTTATCACTTAATAGTTAGTGAGTTTCTATTTGGGATGATGCAAAAGTTCTGGAAATAGATAGTGGTGTTGAATGCACAACACTGTGAATGTAATTAATGCCACTGACTTGAAAAAAAAATCAATAGGAAGGAATAAATAGCAAAAACCCTAAAACTGTGCACATATTTACACAAAACTTCCACTTTCAGAAATTTAAACAAAGGATATAAACTAACAAAAATATATGCACAAAACTGTCCACAAGTAGAATGCTGACCAAGAAAGTAAACAGGATAGAATGCCAGGTAGCATTTAACAATCCAATTCTAATCTAGGCAGCTAATGGATTTCAGAAAATACTACAGATTGTCACATGAAGAGATTACCAACAGTATTTACAGTATGATCCCATTTGTGCAAAAACAATGTGACCCTATATTTGCAAAGACACTATCCAGAATATTCAGTCAATATCCTGGAGGAGAGAATTATGGGTGATTTGGTGCTTCTCCCATAGTATATTGACAGGCAATACTTCTAGTTAACAAAAGTATGAAAACATGCTTTCTACCTTATAAATTCCTATAGAACTTACTTTTCCCCCCACAAGAATATTTTTTAAAATAAAGATACAAATCTACATAATGTGAGCTACAGCTGTTATGCACAGGTGTACTTACATACATACAGGATGGGGCATACTAGTAAGTGGGTTTACAGTTCTATGTGAAACAGTTTATTCTCATATTATTATTTATTAATTATTGTTATTTTCCATACCAACAACTATAAACCTATTTCTGCCTGACGATGTATTTAAAATTAGCGTATAAACCAAACATATCTCTGGGGAATGTGATTATAAGGGGATTTCACTTTTTCTGTATTGTTTGAGTATCTATAGCAATCGTGTACTATGACCAAATAAATCAAAAACAAAACAGAACTCAAGTTTGGAAAAGTGCTGTGTGGTTATGGAGCCAATTCAGTGTGTTTCAGAAGAATCTGACTTCATGGGACTCACCACAGCATTCAGTAGGACTCACTACAGCATCCAGTAGGGGCTACACGCTTTTCACTAATGACTCCAGTTATGAAGAAAAGTGCTAGTCTAGCCTCTGCAAGGTAAGAACAAAATATTCTAGTACCTTCCTACATTCTAGCAAGCAAATAACTGATTTTTTTAAAAAAGGTTTTGGCCCTAACCGGTTTGGCTCAATGGATAGAGCATTGGCCTGCGGACTCAAGGGTCCCAGGTTCGATTCCGGTCAAGGGCATGTATCTTGGTTGCAGGCACATCCCCAGTAGGGAGTGTGCAGGAGGCAGCTGATTGATGTTTCTCTCTCATCGATGTTTCTAACTCTCTATCCCTCTCCCTTCCTCTCTGTAAAAAATCAATAAAATATATATTAAAAAATAAAAATAAAAAAAGGTTTTGAAGTGACAAAGTACATTCCTACTTTATTACTTTAAAACTATTTTTTCACTCACACACACTCAGTTGGGAGTACTTACATGATCGAAGAAATACACCACCGCGAGGTGCTTGTTGCGCCTGGAGTAAGTGCGCTGCACTTTAGCAATTTTGCCAAAGTGATTCTCCAGAAAGGTCCTGTTGTTGAGATAGTCGGGAATGTTCTTGCACTGGATCGCTGTGACTTCAGAGGGAGAGAAGCCCCCAAGACTATCTGTGCTCTCACTTCTTTTATTCTGACGCCCAGGAGTTCCTCTTAGAAAATCTAGGGGATCAGAAAATGGGCACAGAACTGTAGTAGATGCAATGTTTCCAAACAGGAGGCACCAACTATGTAAGGGCAAAGGAAATTTCCATGTGTGTGAGACCTGCTCCAAGATCCTATGGTATTAATGTCCCTAATGTTTACAGGGGACTTAACCAAAAAAATCAAGCTAACACCCAGGAAAGTTTACCAAGAACTTGCCATACAGCAAGGTTTACTGCATGTTGTACATTTTTAGAGCTCACCTTCTTTTTTATCTCTACTTTCAGTTTCTTCCTCTTTCACACCTGGAAGCCGGGAAGCTGCCAGAACAGACTGACTCCCTCCTGGTATGGCCATGTGATCATTTTCCCCAGACTCGGCACAACCAATTTCCTTTCTGGATTCCTTGTTGCCTAGACGACTGACTTCTTTATTGCTTTTGAAAACATCCTGTATAGTCCGACCAAACAGAGTACCTCCCCGGGGCCGATTCAGGCGGACCGGCCGCTTATCGGGAGGATGATCACCCCTCGACAGAGGGTCCAGGTCTTCCACTGCGTCGTGGCCATATCTCCTTGGGGAGCGATCCTGATCCTCCTTCCTTTTCAGTCCTTTCATGAAGCTGGAAAGTGGCTCCACTTGGGAAACAATTTCTTCACATCCTTGTCTGGCACCTGTTTTGCTAACTGGGAAGGGTTCCCCCAATGATCCTGAAGAAGAAGTGGGAAAGCTAGTGAAGCTACTATGAAGACTTCCAAATAGTGATTTAGGGCCTTTCTTCTCTTCCTCCACATTTTGACTTGACAAAGGAAGGGTAAAGGGCGATGACGAATTACTACTATCAACTGGTTTCGAAAAGGTAAAATTTGATTTAGTAGCTGAACTTGTCACCTGTGTAAAAGAAAATGGAGCCTGTCCTCCAGGTCCACTACTAATTGGTTGGGAAAATGTGAAAAATCCGGAAGTAATTTGGCTTTGAGTTTTCTCTGGCTCGGATTCAGCCCCCAGTATTGGTCTGAACACTGAATTTTCCAGAGATTTAAAGCTGAACTCTGTCTTCCCAAAACCAGAGCTTGCTACTTCTCCAGTTTCTGGTGCAAAAGTAGAAGTACTCGGGAAAGCCCCAAGGTTGGGTGATTTAAAAGTAAAGCTTGAGTTTCCAGGCACACATGAACTTGAAGGCCCAGAGGCAGATAGAAAGGATGGAGTGTGTTCAAGTCCAGAAAAGAGTCCAACACTTGAGGTTTGGGAGAATCCTAATGTTTGTGCTGAAGAAGAGTGCCCTACTCCAGACGTTGGAAAGCTAGGTATCTGGGAAAATCCTGAGCTTTTCCCAGATACTGTGTTGTTTTGTCCAAAAAGAGAAGGCTGACCAAACCGAAAGGGTTGCTTAGCCTGAGCTGTTCCTATGGAACTACTGGAAGATGTTAAAAAAGCACTAGGCTGCTGCCCGCTGCTGAAAGGATTAGTTGGGTTCATCTTCTGATCCAGTTACTAGAAGGTAATAAAGATTTCCCTGTACAAAGCAGTCCTCTTCCTTAAACAGTTTGTTGAACTAGGGAGCTCCCCCCTTCATTTCATGTAAGCTGAAAGACAAAAATTCAGATCATCAGAGCTTTGTGCCGCTGGAAAACTAAGAACAGAATTTTTCATCACATGTCACATCCTAAATTATTTAATAGGCAGACAAAGCAAAGGGCCAAGTATTCTTATTTTCTGAGAGATAGTGGGTTCTTTTTCTTTTTTCTTTCTTTTTTTTTTGGGGGGGGGGAGTATGGGGTGGAGGACGATATAAATAACTTTATTACAGATGTTTAAGGCGTGACTAAAGGCCAAATCATTTTACTAAATTGGTAAATTCACCAAAAACCTCAAATGTTAATTTTTTTTAAAAAAGAATGTTATTACACTTTTCAAGTTGAAGAGAGCAGTTTCTCCTAACTTCTTCCAATCTCCATAGCCAGGCAATCACATTGTGACAATTAGAACATCAGTGTTTCAGCTCTCCCACCTAATTATTCTCCGAGTAACCTTAACACTAAATACTCTTTCCAGACACAGAAATGAAATGTTTTTATACCGGGGCTACTCCTCGAGCGAACCAGCTTAGAGGTCAAGAGTACTCACGTGGAGAGGCCGCCCTAGACTCGGGAGGGGCTGGAGCGGAGCATCACGACCCCATCTAGCAGGCGGCTCCATAGGTCCCCGCACAGGCCGCACCCTGGGCCCGGCGCCTCGCTGTCCCGCCCCGTTAGCGACACGCGCGAAGCGGGTCCAAGGAACAGCGAGAGGTGAAGGGGCAACCTCCGCCCGGCCCTGACCCCGCGCAGCGCTCACGGTCCGGCTCAGGGACGCCGTCGTTTCGGGGTACCTCCGCGTTTAGCTGGTAGGGCAGACCAAGACCGCCGGAACCAGCGCTTCCCTGCGCGCCGCGGACCAAAACAGTGGTGGACCGACTTCCGGTCCCACCTGAGCAATCCGGCCCCGCCAGTAGCCCTCCAAGCTCGGGTTCCGCCCTCCGGCTGAGCGGCGGCGGTGGGGCTTCCGGTGCGCGGGGACAAGGGCTGGGTCCGCAGGCTTCGGTCCCCATTCCAACGCGGGTGGCTTCTTCTCTTCGAACTTGGGGGACGTCAGCCCACCCGCGTGCTGCCCGGGGTCAGCGCTGAGCGGTTCCTGGGGAACCCCCTGGATCCGGCCAGGCGCCCCATCCACATTTCTCAGCGCCCCCCCCCAACCCCCCGCCATTCTACCCTCCCCTCCTCCACTTCCACTGCCCAGACCCCGCTCACCCGCCCGCACTATTAATGTCCCTTCCTCTCCACCAGCCTTCATTTCCTGTGGCTACTGTTACCTCTTCTGGCTTGCCTGACTGTGGCGTCGTTTTAGAGACCTTCATTTTTATATTTTTCGTATGGTAAAATGTAAATTCCTGCAATTTTTTTTTCAATGAATTGCACCAAATAAAATGACTTGATTTTGTGTGCGTGTTGCACTTCCTAGGACTGATTTGTCTTCTCTTCAACTTGAAGCACAGGTTCCTTTACAGACTTTTTTAAAGTGCCCGGTGTCCTCCTGGAATGAGTCTGGTGCTCAGAAACCTGCAGCGGGCTGTCCCCCTGCGGAGAGTGCCGCTCCGCCAGAGGATGGAGATCGTCAGGAATATTTTAGGAGTCCAGAAATTCGACCTGGGGATCATCTGTGTTGACAACAAGAGTATTCAGCACATCAACAGGATCTACAGAGAGAAAAACACCCCAACTGATGTGCTTTCTTTTCCCTTTCATGAGGTAAAAAGTATTTTCCTCCTCGCCTTGTCTAGCCTACCATTCAGTGTAAATTTCCTGTTAATTACACTACAGACATGATTTTTAGTTGTATTTTGAAAACTTTCACAATATACACGAGAATAGAGATCAACCCTATTGATCAATGCCCATTTCTCTCCTTTCCCCACCTAATGGGGTCAGTGAATGAACAGTTTTGAGTGTAAATCAATAATGAATATGAATGGTTAAAAATTAAATAACACTGAATAAAAGAAAAGACTTGTGTAAATATTTTCTACAAACTTGTGATAGCTGTCAGATCACTCAGTTATGCAAATGAGTCATTCTGGGCTTTACACAGGGGTTAGTAGCAGCTTAAATTGGAAAGCAGCTTGGCAACAGACTTCAGTCCACTAGTGTCACACCTACAGAAATAAACCAAAGAAGGAAGACTATAAAATATTAAATGCATAATATAAAAATGCATTAAAATGTTCACTTATTAAGTATCACATGATCTTACTCATTTGTGGAAAATAATGAACAACGTAAACTAATGAACAAAAATAGATTCAGAGACATAAAAACATCAAACAGACGGTCAAACCTCAGAGGGAAGGCAGGGGAGGATGAAGGAGGGGTAATAGATCAACCAAAGGACTTGTATACATGCATATAAGCATAACCAATGGTCACAGACAGTAGGGGGGTGAGGGCATGTGCAGGGGGGTGGGAGCAGCCAGGAAGAGGTCAATGGGGGAAAAGGGAGATGTGTAAAACTTTCAACAATAAAGAATTTAAATTTTGTAAAAGGTTCACTTATTTTCCTTAATAGGAAAAATAGCCATTAACAATACTAAGTAAATATGCAGCCATAGGTTACTGGCTTGCTGTCAACTGAATAGACTGGTGCTTATGGTCTTTAAGTAAGAAAATGTGAAAGGCTATTTAAGACAAAATACCAGGAGGAAAGAACAGAAATATAAAATTATATCAATGTGGTGATTTAACTCCTAGACGTAATCTGTGTGACTATGCATTGGGAAGGATGAAAGAAATGGAAAGGAAATCACTGGACAAGGTGGAAACATCTTAAGTCACTTGTGTGTAGTGGCTTTGTGGTCCCCCGCCCTCACTCCGGACTAGTCAGGGGACAGTGCCTTCCAGAATGAAATCTGTAGGCCTGTCGTCAGGTTAGTGTTCCTGAGGTCCTGTTCTCACAATCTGTTTCTTCATTTGCAGAATCTAAAAGCAGGTGAAATCCCCCAGCCGGATTTTCCAGATGACTATAACCTGGGGGACATTTTCCTAGGAGTGGAGTATATCTTCCAGCAGTGCAAAGAAAATGAAGACTACTATGACATCCTGACTGTAAGTAGGAATGCTGAAATGACAGGTTCTGCCTAGCAAAAGAAATACCATGTCCTTAATCCAGGCCATAAAGAGGTTGGCGACGTGCCACCTGTGTCCACACTATGGCCCACGTGAAGAACAAGGGTTATGGAGGGAGACCCACAGAGAGGGAGATCCAGGGAGAGGAAGATGGCAGAGTGGGATCTGCATGCCCTGTGGCAGTGCCAGGGGTGGGAAGAGGACAGGGAGTTTTTCCCTAACTGAGATGTGAGATAAGGGAAACTCCCAGTAGTGACCTTGTTTTAGCTTTTACCGTGCACTCAGCAGGCTGTGTAGTTAATGTAGGCTTGCTGAATAAGCTTCTTAGGAAACTGTCCAAAGGGGACAAAATTCTAGCATCCAGGGCCTTCCAGATCTGTCCTCAGCTTATTATATTAAAAAAAAAAAAAAGGACAGGGGGAGTATTCTGAAAGTATTGAGTGTGATAGAGTCATATTTTAACTTCCGCAAGGATTCAATTGAGGGGTCTTCCTTTGGCCAAATAGCCACACCCTGAAATATGTTGTGGAGGGGATGGGGGGGGGTCCTAGTGCTTCCATGTGAGACCCAGTGTGAGCAGGTTTTGGTGGGGGAAGAGGAGGTTTCCCTTTCTTCCTGAGCATCAGGAAACACAGTGTAGTCAGGACTTGTCAGCAGGGTCCAGCTCTGGGATCTCTATGGCCGGCAATGGTGCACCCCAGGGGGAAGGGGGGCATGATCGAGGGTGCAATTGTGGAAATCTGATTTCACTTCCCAGCACCTCTGAGGGTTCTGTATCGAAGTAGAGGGCCAGCCCACCGCTCCTGGGACCCTCATCCCCCGTCACAGGACCAGCCAGGCCACTCTCCTCCCTCCTCACTGCCAACTGCACGTAGGCACCTTCTAATAGCCCTGGGTACCCTCCAACTACCACCTGGTCCTCCACTTCTCACCACTCCTCTGACCCTTCCCTCTGCCCTGAAAAGCAGGTGTCTCCTCAGGAAATAATCACTGACCCTCCCTGCCCCAGAGATCCTGGTCTTCACATCCCTGACAGGGCCCTGGTCTACCTGATGTTTTCTGAACCCCACCCATGTTCTCATCGCCCACTCACACCCTCGGTGCTGCTGCCACCGACTCCCAAAGCCCTGCCTGGGTCCAGAGGAGGGTTCCTAACCTCCCACCAGATGTGAGCTAAGCTCTCCCTGCCTTCCTCCTCCCCTGGCTCCTGGCTTGGTCATGGTCAGCCCCTGAGGCAAGCTTTTTAATTGTTCAACAGGTGACTGCCACTCATGGGCTCTGCCATCTACTGGGCTTCACACATAACACAGAGGCCACGTGGCAGAAGGTAGGTGCCATCCCCCACAAGCCAGGGCTGCCCGGCCTGCCCCTTGCAGTCGATGAAAACCAAACTTGGAAAAAAACAGTAAAATAAGGAATTTTATACACGTTTACTTTATTAAAAATAGACTTACAATGTTTGTTTTAAATATTGGGCTCCCCAAATGTTGTTAACTGTATTATTAACTCACTATTGAAAGTCTGAGCAGAGAGACTGAATTCTGAAAATTCTATGAAATTCTGATGGCTTAAAGTTACAAAATCTTTGTGAGAGAAACTGTGATGCTATTTATTAGTTGCGAACAGGATTTGAAATGTGCAGGCATCTGATAGAGACCTATTGTATAAAGTTATGGAGCAGTTGGTTTCCTCGAAGGGGGCCAATGTTTACCCACTTGTAAAGGTCCATGTTGGTATATAAACCATATTGTGTTTAATAAACTCAAACTATATTTGTAGTCAAATAGTCAGATTCTCTGAAAGGCATAAGAAACTTTTTCATTAACAAAAGAAGTCCCTGGCATACTTGTCCTCTCCCCCAGCCATCCTGGGCTTGGTCCACACCAGCCTCACCCTGGCTCCACCTCCCCTTCCTGTCAGATGCCAGCCTTACTGTGGCCACTTCCTCCTCAGCCCTCCACCTCTACATCCAACAGATCTAAGTCTCAGCATGTGCAGTCTGCCAGGGACCCCAGGCCTCCGAGCCCTGACCACCCTTCCCCCCAGAGGAGCCATCTGCACCCCCTCCCTCCCCTGTGTCCTGCGCCTGTTCTCCTGTGACCCCAGGCAGGCTCTCCTCTTTCCTCCCCAAGATCACCCCCTCTGCCCCAGCCCACAGCCTCTCCTGCCGTCTCCATCGTTCACTTTGCCGGCAGCATTCTGGCACTCCCTGTGCACAGGTGCTGGGCACCCATGAGCAGAACCTTGAGGGAAGCCCTATGGCCAAGGCTCCCCATGCCATAACCGTGGACAGGGAGGGATTTGCAGAGGAGGGAACCCTGGGCCCAGCCAGGGACTCCCCAGGGCCTGAGCAGCCAGGCCAGCTGGGCAAGTCCAGGGTTGGTTTTCGTTCCTTCGTTGCAGATGTACCAGAAGGAGAAGCAGGTTCTCGAGGAGCTGAGCCGGCGCACTGGGGCCAGGCTCCAGCCCCTGAGCAGGGACCTCTTCTGATGAGCACAGCCCATGACGCAGGTAGTACCCGAGGGACCCTTCAGGGCACAGGGACCCCTCCCCGTGGGTCAGAGGCTTCCCCAGACGGAGGGCTGGTCAATGCCCGAGCCGGGGCTAAATTCCATGAGTGGAACTATTCCTTAAAGTACAGGAGAAATGTCCATTCATGTCTTTACTTAGAACACAGCAGACATGTTATTTTCAGTATTGTAGGACAGTTCTAAACTCTTGGCGCATCTAACCTGTCCCTCCCTGGGTTTCTGCCTTTGGTAATGAAACCTTTCCCCTCCCACCTCTGCAGCCACCCAGGAGGATGAAACAAGCGGCCTGGGGGCATATATGTGGGAGCAGATGGTGGACTGGACAGGCACCCAGCCAGCCAGCCGGGGCCTCCATCACCTGAACCTGTCAGGTCAGGATCCTGACCACAACGCAGGGAGTTCCAAGAGGTCATGGCAGTAACACAGCGTCTCAGATCCTTTTTGGCCAGAACAACCAGGGATGCTGCAAGTCTGAGAATTTGGTTTCCCCTATGAGTCTATGTTAGAAACATGAAAACCAGTGTGTTAGAAACACATTTCCCACTGGATTTGTGTCCTGCCTCAGTCTGCACTTCCCCCAGCTCTCGGGGATAAGGGCTTGAGCCTGTGACATTCCTGAGTCACTGTTGGCTGCGCATGGCCTGCTTGTAATCACAAAGCTCTTGGCTCCGAAATCCTTTTTAAGAGTCTGAAAGGGTCCTGAGACCTGCTGGTCTTGTCCCTCCATGTGCCCTCATGAGCACCAGGTACCCCCAAGGGGCTTTCCATGTGACCCCATGTGATTCCCCCTGCTCGGGAGGTGTACTGAACTGAGTTTTTCCAGTTTACCACATCACCCAAAGACAGTGGACTTGTCCAATGCCTTCCCTCTGTTAATAATGTCGAGAAATAAAACCGAAGCCATGTTAGAAAAAATTAATGTGAAAATAGGAAATATGGCCAGACCTTTAATTGGTGCATTTAACAAGAGACTGGGCTGTGGGACGGTTCAGCCCCGACGTCAGCCCAGAGGGGACCTGCGTGCAGCGAAGCGGGCATCGTGCTTCCTCCAACATCCTCCTGGAGACCCGAGGGTGCAAAGACAGGGCTCCTGCTGGTGAACCTAGGGAACCCGCTGATGTACCCCAAATGGGGCCATGAAAGCATGCTGCTACTCAAAAATGACATTTCCATGAAAACTATTAAAAAGCAGAGAACATACTAATCCCACCAAGGGAAAAGAGTAACAGGAAGTACAGAAAGAGTACACGTAACAGCCCAGCGGTGTGGGTCAGTGGTTGAGCATCAGCCGATGAACTCAGAGATCACCAGTTTGATTCCTGGTCAGGGCACATGCCTGGGTGCAGGCTGTGCAGGAGGCAGCCAATCAATGTTTCTGTCTTTCTATCCCACTCCCTTTCTCTCTAAAATCAATAAAAACATGTTTTAAAAAGAGTAAAGGTAACGGATTCATCAGGTGAGAAACCCAACAGAACCAGAAGAGCCTCAGTCCCAACCCCCTCTCCAGGAGCCGTGTGCAGTTCTGCGGGTTTATTCGCAGGAGAAAGGCCGGGCTAGCAGGTGGATCTACCTGTCACCAGTGCTTCCTCCCAGGAGAGCACATCTCCGTCTGCAGCCGCTGCTTTCCTCCCTCGCCTCTGCGCTGTTTCCCATGGGAAGGTTTATATTCTTATGTGGCTAAATCTATGCTATGGGTCTTCTTCCTGTGGCTCCTGGGCATCTTTTCTGACAACACCCCTGTGTTTCCTTGTGATCTCAGTGGCCAGGGACCACTGTCAGGCTTCCACCTGGTTTTTCTGACCACGTCCCTGAGGGAAGAGGGACCGTGAGGCTCACCAGGCAGGTGTTGGGGGCTCACTGGCCCGGAGCTGGAGCAGGTGCAGGCAGGAAACCGTCAGGCGCAGCCCTAGAGGAAAGGCAGGAGTCTGGGTGTCGTTACTGCCCCACAGGGCGCACAGGTGCATGGGGCAGGTGAGTTCCGCTCTGGGGATCAGGAGGGGGCCCTTGCAGCCATGCTTGGACTGGACATATCCAGGATCATCTGGGTTAGACAAATGACCCAAGCTTCCCCAGGAGGTGGCCGTGGGGTGGGGGTGGGGGTGAGGCTCCATGGTCCCACCTGTGTCCCTCAGGAGATGGCAGAGCCTTTCCAGGCCCCTTTCCCAATTCCCTCTGCAGCCTAGGAACCTGACAGAGACCTACGTCCACTGGCTTGTCAGTAGGGGTGGGGAAGGGCAACGGGGTTCCGAGATCCTTACGTGCTAAGGGCAGCGGCGGAGGGGGTGGCCAAGTGACGCATGGTGGGCAGGAAGCTGGCGGCAGGTGGGAGGGCGGTGGCAGAGACCACGGAGGGCCACATGGAGTAAGCCACGGGTGAGCCAGGTGCGGCTCGCAGCGGGGCTGGAGGCGCATAGTGGTGGTGATGGTGCACGGAAGGCGGCTTCTGCCTCTCAGCTCGCAGCCCGGTGGGGTGAGGCCACTGCGGGCCCTCAGCACAGCACAAACAGCAGCTTATTTCAACTGGGACCTGCTGCTTCAGGCACCCTCTTCCCCACCCCACTCCCGTTCCTGACTTAGGGTGGCCTCAGAGCCCAGGAAGGGAAGGGAAGGGAGGGAGAAAATGGGGGGAAGGAGTCGCAGAGAACTCATCCCAAGGAAGCAGCTTTCTGGGCCTCAAACTGCACAACTCATTCCTCTTCTGAGGGGGACGGGGGAGAACTGGGGGATTTCACGGCCAGATTACAGGCCCCCAGAGCTAAAAATGAGCTTTTCAGAGTTACACAGATACACAATGTCCAAAAGTGTTTACTTGGGTGGCGTCCTTTACCTGGTGTCTGCTCCAGGCTGAGCCTACCTGCAGGGTGGGCGGCAAGGGTGTGGCTTGCGGTCCCCTGGAGGAAGCAGAGGCCATTGGGGGCACGGCCTGGAGCATCAGGTTCTGCATGATGACCTGGTGCATCTGTGCGTTCTGCAGCAGCATCATCTCCACCATGTCTAAAAGGGCGGGAGGAGGGGCTCGGTTACACACACACGGGCTCGTCCGTCCGTCAGGGGTCTCACCCGAGAACAGAGCTTGAGAGCAACTTATTTGTTGAAACAGGTGTAGGGTGTTCCAGGTATCTGTTCCTCCTGGGGGGGGGGGCGGTCACATTCCCAGACCTGAAATTTCCAGGTCAGAGGGTGTGTGTGCTATAAAGTGTGTGGACGGTGTCCAGTTGGGCTCCTAGGAGGTGGCTCCTCTTGCCTTCCTGCTGGCAGATTCCTCAAGCCCATCGGGACTGCATGGTGGCCCCTGACCTCAGAACATGGCCTTGTTTGGAAAAAGGGTCTTTGCAGATGTAATGAAGGATCTTGAGGTGAGATCACTGTGGGTTATCCAGATGGGGCCCAAGTCCAAGGGCAAGTGTGTTTATAAGAGACAGGCAGAGGGAGATGGAGACCAAAGGGGAGCACAGACACGGACAGAGACGAGCGATTGAGCTACAGCCCAGGACACCTGGAGCTGAAGCATGGTGGTCCCTCCTTTGGAAAGCTGCTGTTTGAAATACTCTGTTATTCTTTTCTTTATATATATATATATAATTGATTTTTTTACAGAGAGGAAGGGAGAGGGATAGTTAGAAACATGAAAAACATCCATCAGCTGCCTCCTGCACACCCCCTACTGGGGATGTGGCCGCAACTAAGGTATATGCCCTTGATCACAATTGAACCTGGGACCCTTCAGTCCGCAGGCTGACACTCTATCCCAGCCGTGGGCAAACTACGGCCCGTGGGTTTGAAATGAATAAAACTAAAGAAAAAAAAAAGACCGTACCCTTTTATGTAATGATGTTTACTTTGAATCTATATTAGTTCACACAAACACTCCATCCATGCTTTTGTTCCGGCCCTCTGGTCCAGTTTAAGAACCCATTGTGGCCCTCGAGTCAAAAAGTTTGCCCACCCCTGCTCTATCCAGTGAGCCAAACCGGTTACGGCTACTCTGTTATTCTTTGTTTCTTATTCTGTAGGTCAACTCTGTTATTTTTAGACTGTAAAGTAACTTTGTTTTTAGCTTCAAGAGTAGAAAAGATAAACTTAACTGTCTGACCTTGCAAGCTAGCCATCTAAAGGGACTGATACGCTGATACTGATGATAATTCCCATTCTCATGCCAAGTGTTTGTATCCAAGGTTACAGGTGTCTGTGTAGATATGACAGGTGTTTGCTAGATATGATATATACTCAAGGTTACACGCTGTCTACAAAAATAACTTACACAAAGAACTAGAAGGATATAAAAAGAAATTCTCCCTCCTATGTTTGTTCAGAATTCGACAGAGGTAATCTGCTCTGAACCTGCGCGCAATAAAGATGACTCCTAACTAATTGGCTCATTAAGGCATCTTGTCCAGCTCGCTGATTTGCGATACAGCAGAGCCACCACTGGAAGAGGCAGGAGGACCCTCCCTGGAGGGAGAATGGCCCTGTGACCCCTGGATTCTGGCCTCCGGACTGTGACTGGATTTCTGTGGTTTCCAGCCACCTGGCTTGTGGTGCTTTGCTACGGTAGCTCCGAGATATATTCACCAACTCTGGATGCTATGAAACATGTAAATTTTGTCGGCACAAGAGGTAAACATGGGTTGTTTCCACAGCAGCTCGGTCCAGGAAATTAGGCATTTCCTCCAGGCGCTGTCAGACTCACCAAAGGAAGGCAGGTTCCTTAGGGCCATTCATACTCCCAGGCGAACGAACAGGAGCCTGGAGGCCCAGGGGCAGGGGCTCAACAGGACACAGGACCCCCAGCCAGTAGCCTCCCCACTCCAACGGAACTCTCCCCTGGTCCCCAGTGGGCCAGCCAACCCTGCAGATTTGGGACTAACCAGGCCTCCATAATCACACGGGCCAATTCCTTAAAACACACCTTTCTCTCTGTATACACATCCTATTGTTCTGTTTCTCTACAGAGCCCTGACTAACACAGATTTTGCCCCAGGGTTGGGGCACTATGGGAGGTGCAGACCCAGAGCCAGGTTCCTGCAGTAGCAACAGCTGTGGGAACTCTGACCCTGCATGATAAGCAGTTGAGAGGCTGTCTGGCGGCCCCATCTGGGAAGGGCCCTTGAGCTGGGCTGGGGCAGACCCCACCCACCAGCAGCAGTGAGAGCCTCTGAGGGACACTTCCCAGTCAGCCCTCCAGGACTCCCACTGATAGTCAGGAGTAAAAAGATTAGATTACACAGGAGCGCAAAATGGACACATCCTGTTCACTAAAGGGACGCTTCCTGACAGAGGGACACGGTAGTGCAATGGGAGAGCCTTCAGTCAAGGGCACGGGGTCAAACTGATGCCACGGCAAAAAGAAAATAGCATTGATCCCTAACTCATAGCACACACACAGCCACAGCCAGTCCAGAGGGATCATGGATCTGAACGTGAAACGTAAACAGCCACGTGAGGCAATATGACCTTGAGCAGGTAAAAACTTCAAACAGGATACCCAAGGCACTAACCATAAAGGAAAGAGCCCGAAAACCTATTAGTAAAGTTAAGAACTTCACCTGAAGACATTAAGAGAGGAAGGGCAGGCCACAAAAGGACTTAATATTTGTAAACATATATCAAAAAAGGACCCGTTGTAGCATATAAAGAATTCCTGTAAATCAATGAGAGGCAAGCAACCTGAAAGAAAAGTGGGCAAAATACTTAAATGGGCACTTCACACCAACGGGTATCAAATGGCCAATAACTATGGAGTGTCCCCAAAAATGTATGCACACACTTTGAATAATTATAAAGACAAAGTTTATTAAAATACATTTCACTTGCCAAATTGAGCTGTTAAAGTGCGTATACATTTTGGGGGGACATCCTGTGTATAAACGGTGAAACGTAGATTAAGCCCAGAATGACCTACTACTCATGCCCAACAGATTGGCAAAAATGGAAAAAAAAATCTGAAAACACGGAGTGTTGGTGAATTGCTGTGGGCAACTGACACTCTCCTTCCTTTCTGTGGCATGTGCATGGGAGTCACCACTCGGTGTTTCCTGACTGGGCCACCTCCTTCCCCAGCACGTGCCCCACACGCATGTCCCGTCACCGGAAGACGGCAACCTCCAGAGCAGCACTGCTGTGGTAGTCCCCGCAGGAGGAAAGAATTGGAACATTCAACTCCAAAAAGAATGCACCCAGTCCTTGCCAGTGTGACTTGACTGGGTGTCATCCCATGTACAGAAAGGTTGGCGGTTCGATTCCCAGTCAGGGCACATGCCCAACCCTCGGTAGGGGGCCTGCAGGAAACAGCCAATCAAGGTTTCTCTCTCTCCCACTCCTTTCCTCTCTCTCTAAAAATCAATTTAAAAATCTTTAAAAAAAAAAAATGCTACTCTAGCCGGTTT